TGAATGAATGAATGAATGAATGAATGAATGAATGAATGAATGAATGAATGAATGAATGGTGCCAGCAATAGTATACTTACTCAGTAGAGGACCCAAGAAGATCAGAGGTGGGGCTGGAATTTGTTTGCACCCCTTCTTCACCTATGTTAAGTGGACTCAGTTCAGAGCACTTTGTTTAAGATGCATGTAACTTCCATCTGCCAGACTGCATTAGTTAGAGATCTGTCTGGCTTGCTAATGATGTAGCTTTTAATTTCTTAAAGTCAAGTTTTAGCATGGTCATTGGACTGCTTCTCTGCACCATGGGAAATTTTTGTAGCTGTGTAGTAAAGTCCTCCTTTGCCAAGACTCTTGTGGAAAGTCACTGCTCTCTCTTTCCCTAGGTTTTGATTGAGCATATTGGGAACCTGGACCGGGCCTATGAGTTTGCTGAACGTTGCAATGAGCCTGCAGTGTGGAGCCAGCTTGCCAAAGCCCAGCTTCACAAAGGGATGGTGAAAGAAGCCATTGACTCCTACATCAAAGCAGATGATCCATCTTCCTACATGGAAGTTGTCCAGGCTGCCAATGCAAGCGGTAGGGAATTGGCACTATTTTTCTTCCCTATCCCTGCCCCCCAGGTTTCTTAATAGCCTTTGTGAGAACCAAAAATAGACCCATGGCTCCAGGTGAAATGTCTTAACAAAGAGTAAAAACTCTGCTCTGACAGGCTTTTCCAATCTGGTGTCCACAAAATCTGGAATCCCAGTCAGCAGGCTGGGAAAGGCTGAACTAGAAGTTGATCTGTAGTGTGCAAAGTCTGGATGAAAAATAGAGAAATGCCTCCCTCCCAAAGAGTGGGCAGGAAGGCAGATAGACATAGAGAGGAGAAGGATGGTTTCTGCTGTGATAAGAGGAACTGGGAATTACAGGTGTCTTGTATCCTTCACAAAATGCGACACTGTCAAAGGAGGACTTTTCATGGCATCTGTTGCACACGAGGAATCATTCGTTCTTGGCCACGTTTCAGGAAGGACAGATCTCTTGTTCCACTGGCTACCGGATTCTTCCTTCTTTCTCGATTCACTTTGAGTTGATTATAAAGGTGGCAAAAGCCTCTGAAAGTGAATGTTGGAAACCCAAGAAAGATTCCGATAGGTTCTAACGTAATGTTGGCTGTCCCTATTTCCGTCGCTGTCCCCAGGCAAGTCCAATTAGGGTGTTCTCTTCCCCCTTCAGCACGGTTCTCCCTCCAGATCCATTTCTCTGTGCGTGCGTGTACGAAGGATAGAAGTTGCCACCTCTCTGATGGGAAAGGGCCCGTGTACTTGTGAAGTACATTTATTCTGCAACAGATGTGTGAACAGACTTGCCCAGTATAGTGAGTGGATGACAAAGAGGTGGATTGTCTGGCTGACCTGATTTTTTTTTTCCCCTCCCAGTTTCGGGAAGCTTGTGTTCCACTCAGCAAGAATGAGCAACTGTTTGGCTCTAATAAAATTCCACACACAGCCCAAGCTAAAGTAGAAATTAATCGGCACGCTGATGGCTCAGTCCTTTTGATTTTGCCAGTGTTGCACATGCTGGGGTGCATCTCTCCTCCCTCCCCCACTGCCCATTCCTTATTTTAAAGGGACGTTTGTCACTGGGTAAGCCTGCCCAGGCGAGGCTGGCTTTGCAGTGACTGCTAAATCCTTCTGCTCTTTCTCCTTTCTGAAGGATGTGAACTGAACGGCCCGCAAATTGTTCCTGCAATGTGACTAGGGGCTGCCTCTCCCTTTTTGTCCCCCACCTAGGCAACTGGGAAGAGCTGGTGAAGTACTTGCAGATGGCCCGCAGAAAGGCCCGGGAATCCTACGTGGAGACGGAGCTCATTTTTGCTCTCGCTAAAACAAACCGCCTGGCCGAACTGGAAGAATTCATCAACGGGCCCAACAATGCCCATATTCAGCAAGTGAGTGCTTCCATCAGTTTTTAATCTGCAGATCAAGCGTTTTCTTAATCCTTGGATTAGACTTCTGCCTTCCATCTCTGCAGGGCTGGGAAGGTTGGTAGGTTTTTCCTTTTATAAGAATGGCCACCCAAATGTAGCATTTTCCTTTTTTCTCTCTCTCTCTTGTCTGCTTATGGTTAATGTGATGGAGAGTCTTGGGCAGAGTTTGTGAGCCTCGGTGTGGTGAAGTAGGGAGAGGAGACTAGCGTTGGAAAGGAGCTGGTTCAAACGTTACACTACCCCGATGCTCTTTAAGTGCTCACAAGTGGTTGTGAGGAAAATAAGTGGGGGGAGTCAGGCTAGAGATGCTGCTCTGGTCTCCTCGGAAGAGCAGAATAAAAATGGGATAACCAAATGCTTAGACTTGATTTACTGATTGTAGCTTTAACACACCCAATAAATGGGCAATGAAATTAGGGTACCCAATGTTAGGATTTGGGGAAGGACCTCTAGTGGGAGCCAGGCAACTGAACAGGCTGAGCTCAGATGAGGTGGTGGTGTCAGGTGGAGGGGGGTCGGTTTGTTAGGCAACGGGGCATACTTGGGGTTAGGCCAAACTGCTAAAGAGGAGAGAAGTACTTGAACCTAAATGAATCTGACATCAGAATCTGGCAGAGCAGCCTTTAAACTCACCCCTAGGAGGGAAGCTGGCAGGTGCTGGGCAGGTTTGGAAGGGTGTAGATGCTTCAGGAAATGCTGGGGAGGGAGGATTACAGTTGGAAGGGGGGTAATGGGTGGCCATGGCAGGCAGGAGAGAAAAGACTGAAGAAGGCTGACATCCATCACATTTGCAAAAGGATATGCTGTGTAGGGGTTTCTGTGCCAGTGCTAGAAGTCTTCAAGCCGAGAGGGGGGAATTAGAGAACTTGGTTAGGAATGAGAACTCAGGGTGAGCTGAACAGAAGCCTAGTGGAACGGAGAGAGTCAGGCATTCGGTCGCTCCCTTTTAAAAAAAAGTGATTTATCTTAGCAAGTTTGGCAAAAAGAAATACACAGATTTGGGAAAAAGGAAAAGCATAAAAACAACAATGAAACTGATAACAAATTCCAGGAAGTGGAAAACTTAATAGAAAGGGTGAGAGGGAAGAGACTAGCAGGGTTTTCTAGGAGTGTCCAGGGAAAGGGTTTCCTTCAGGAAACAAAGTATGTCTAAGAGGACAAGAAGGAGCACTATAAGGTGGTGATAAGGAGTGCAAAAACTGGATTGGAGGGAGCCTGTGGCAAAAAGCATCAAACCGATCTGGAGCACACTGGGCTGAAGAAGGCAGGTTTGTTTATTGGTTTGCTCAATTTAGATCTGGCCTTTCCTTAAGGATCTCAAGACCATGCCTATAGCATTCTTTCCTCCAATTCCATTCACCCCCAGGAATCACTCTGTCGGGTGAGTTGAGAGAGAGTGAATGGCCTAAAGGCTCCCAGTGAGCTTCTGTGGCTGAGGATGGAAGAGAGCTTCAAATCATTGGAGTGTCCTCATTAGAGGTCTCCATAATTGGAGGAGAAAGATATTTATATCCCACTTTCCATTCAGGAGTTCAAGGTAGCATACATAACTATTTTTCCCATGACATCCACCCTGTAAGTTAGATAATTAGTGGTCCAAAATCATCCACTTTTGCAGCTGAAGGTGGACTAGAACTGCTTCTAGTGCAATACCTTCATGATGATATCACAGTGGCTCTCACAGCAAGTTTACATGCTTGGTGGTGAATGTGGAATAGCTAGACAGGTGGACTCCAACCTTTCTTTTTAAAAATAAACATCAGACCCACCAGTGTCTTGCTTCCATAGGTTGGTGATCGTTGCTATGAAGAGAAGATGTATGATGCAGCCAAACTGCTCTACAACAACGTCTCCAACTTTGGCCGTTTGGCGTCCACATTGGTTCATTTGGGTGAATACCAGGCAGCGGTTGATGGGGCCCGAAAGGCAAACAGCACACGAACTTGGAAGGAGGTGAGTTCTGGGCTTCATGCGGCCCATCCCTAATTTTCAGATTTCACCGCACAAGGTGTTGTGGGTCTCAGCAAGAAGGAAAGTGTCTGATTGGAAGTGATACACCTGGATTATCTGGTTGTAGATTTCCAGAGGTGGTTGGTAACCACAGAATGCAGAATGGTGTGGCCTTCTGACTTGATGAGTGTTGTCAGCTTCTTATCAGGCATGGTGAAGAACTCTCTCACAGCTCTGCTTTTCCAAGCGGACATGAAAAAGTTAGTTAATGAATTTTATTGTAGAGAATTCAGAAGCCATACATACAAAGACATTATGTAGCAGCACACAAGAATCTACCCTACATATAACTCAGTTTCAAGGTTTAAAACCTGTGTCTCCTCCTCCTGCTTCTTTAGATTAATGAACTTTGGGTGTTCTTTTCTAAGCCCTGAAGGTCTCTATCACCTGTCTTTTCTGCACAAAACTAATTAATCAAAAATGGTTGTCTCTGGGGACTCCCATCTCACAGATTCCACCCTTGTGTCAGCCAAGAGGAGACCTCAGATCTCTGTCCAGATTCTATTTCAATCTTTTCTGCCTTTCTGGTTGGTTACAGCGATAATACAGGCATTGAGAGGAAAACTTTGAAAATTGTTGGAAACTTCTTGGAAAACATGGACTAAAAATCAAATAGATGCATTGATCTCTTTGGGGTTGCTTCACTTGAAGGCTTGGGAGCATCCTTTAAGAAATGACCTGACCTATTCTCTCTCCCCCCCCCCCCCCCCCCCGCCACAATACATTTGGGCTGCAGTTCCCCAGATTTCCAACTAGCTTAAAACAGGATTTGGGAGGCCCTATGCCTTGCTTTCCCCATTCTTCTGAACAAACGTTCACTCCTCTTGCTCTTCTCAGGTTTGCTTTGCCTGCGTCGATGGGAAGGAATTCCGCTTGGCCCAGATGTGTGGTTTGCACATCGTTGTGCATGCAGATGAACTGGAGGAACTCATCAACTACTACCAGGTAATGGGCAATGTGTTGGTTACTAAAGTACTCCATCATTTGCTTTTGTAAGGAAAGAGCTAAAATCCTAGCTGTTGGACAAGCTTGATTTGTATCCCTCCACCTTTTATTTTTTCCCCCCTGAAAGGACCGTGGCTACTTTGAGGAGTTGATAACCATGTTGGAAGCAGCTCTGGGGCTGGAACGGGCCCACATGGGGATGTTCACCGAACTGGCCATTCTCTACTCCAAATTCAAGCCACAGAAGATGAGGGAGCACTTGGAGCTGTTTTGGTCACGGGTCAACATTCCCAAGGTAACTCTTTTTCTGATAAGCATCTAATCTATTGGATAGAATTTAGAGCCATCTGCCCCCACTTAGAGGTTGCATGAAAGTAAGGTCAGTGCAGTTGTAAGAACTAGTTAAAATATATACTTGGGGTTGATAGAGAATAAGAATGGTCCTGGGGAGCAGTAGTTACAGTGTTAGGAAGGGAAGATAGGAGATCCTGGTTCAGACTTGTGAGAGACCATAACTCATTACAGAGGATGATGAAAAAGATTTAGGGACTTGAGGACAGCCTGAAGGAACTTGGTCTGTTCAGTCTGATGAAAAAATTTGGAAAGCCAAAGTATCAGTGCTCAGATACATAAAAAGGGCCATGGAGAAGATGGTCAAGACCTTTTTTCCATGGGCACAGACCAGAAATCATGAGTACAAACTGCAGCTACCTGGATTTCATGAAAATATAAGGAGAAATTTCTGACTGTCAGATCTGTGCAAGAGTGGAATAGTCTGCTATGGAGAATTGGGGTACTCCATCTCTGGAGGATTTTAAGAAGAGAAGAGACTGGACAGCCATCTCCTGCACATTGCAGAGGATTGGAGTAGATATCTTTGTAGTCCCATCTGACTCCACTTCTTTGATTCTATGATTTATTAGTAGAGTATCTGCTTTGCCTGTAAAAGGTCCTGAGTTCAGTCCCCAATACACCGGCTTTTAAGAAAAACATGAGTTTACGTTTCATAGCATTGCTGGTATTGTCTTGATTTGCCCACTCAGCTGCAGAATTAAAATATACAGGATCCTCTTTGAATTGCATATGTTCAGACAACCAGGGAAAAGATTCTTGGAGATGTTCAACTAGTTAATGTTGGAAGCTAATGCTAGATTAGTTGGGGCTCCATCCATGCTAGAGAGGCCTTTTTTTTCTTTCTATGCTTAAATCTACAAAATCCTTTGTTCCTCCTAGGTGCTGAGGGCTGCTGAACAAGCCCACCTGTGGGGAGAGTTGGTTTTCCTGTATGATAAATATGAAGAATACGATAATGCTATTATTACAATGATGAACCATCCCACAGATGCCTGGAAGGAAGGGCAGTTCAAAGACATCATCACTAAGGTAAGAGGTCTTTCTCCACCAGACTCCTTTAGATTTCCTTTCTGGTATTCGTGCTTGGTGGGAAATAAGTTCAGCTCTCCACTTCGCATCCAGAGTGTTCTGAAGAGCGATCTTATGAAGGCCTCTCTTGCTGGAAGTGTAGCAAGAGATCTCACGGACCATTGTCTCTTGATGATGGTCCTGCAGGCATGGAACAACTTGCCTGGACAGCGTTGCGTGTCTTTCATTTTTAGGAGACTGAGGTAGACTTTCCTCCTCCTGGAGGATATTTGGCCTTCCTGAAGATAACTAGATCTAGAGAGAAGCAGACACTGTTTTAATTTTTAAGGGGAAGTTATTTTTATTGGATGTTTCTGTGTTGTGGTTTTATTCAGTTTTACTAAAACTTGCTTGTGGAAGGCTTTGGAAGCACAGCCAAGTATTTGCCTAAAATTTAAGGTAAAAAGAAGCGGGGTAGACAAAAGACTGGGCAATTGCTTGGTGCTGGGAACAGTGTTTTCCCAAAGCCTATGTTAGCTGGGAAAGATGGAAATAGTAATAATTACTCAGCTCCTCTAGGAATGCTACTTGGATGTCTTTGTTGACAGTCTTTATTTTAAGGTGTGATAATGGATCTTCCGTTAGGTACCCTTTCCCTTTTTACCGAAGGGACTGATAGTGCAAGCTTCAGTTTCTTAATTTGAGGCAAGACGAACAGTGTTTTGATTATTGTGTCAGCTATCTTGAATAAAGTCTTAGCATTGGTGTAAGTCTGTGGGGCTGCAGAACTTAAGTGATAAAGTTGAACTGTCCCCATATTAAGTATGGCTGAGCCAATCATAGGTGATATGAATGACCACGGGGTGAATTTGGAATGGCAAGAGCCTCCCAAAAGAAGCTGATCAAGAGACTCTCTCATGTTGAGAGTTCAGATTCTACAATTCTCTTCCCCACGCCCCCAAAGCAGTGGTTGGTTAGACCAGTTGGTTGATCTGCTTCTTTACTTAGCCACAGCCTTCCTCCCATGTTCCATACTGTGTGGCAGAAAATCTAATATTGTATGGGTGTTCCATGAATCTTGATTCAGAGTCTCTGTGGGGCTGCAGTGTGGTCTGTGAAAGCTTTCTTGGCAAGGATAATTCTTTTTCCCTCCAACTGGACTTCCTGGTTTCTTTTTTTAATCCTGTGACTTCTGCTAAAGTTGTCCCCTCTGTGCAACAACAGAAGTGCTTGGACAGCATTGCTCGCTAGTGACTCCAGTTCTGTCTAAGAGGCAGCCACAGAAAAGTTTCTTCACTTAACTTTTTCCTTAGCCTGGAGAGAGAGACTGATTTATTTATGAAATTTATATGGCCGCTGTAGAGAGTAAGAAAAATGACCTTGACAGAGATATTCAGTAACTGTTACCTAGGCAAAAGGGGCTGAAACATTTTATAAGTCCAGAGAAATGAAATAGCATTCAGAATAAGTAAGCAATATACAGGTAGTCCTCATTTAGCAACCACAATTGGGACTGGCAACTTGGCTGTTAAGCAAAGCAGTCGCAAACTGAAGCCATGGCTGTGCTTATGATCTTATTTCAGCTTTCCTTTGCTTTACAGACCTGCAAAGGTCGTAAATGCGAGGATTGGTTGCAAAGTTACTTTTTCATCACCATCGTAACTGCAAATGGTCACTAAACAAGGCAGTCGCTAAACGAGCACTACCTATAGTTAAAAACAGCAACAAAAATGAATAGGCGATTGAGAATTCAAATTTATATTATGCACCTCTCCAGGCAGGAACTCCAATCAACTTGGCCCCAATGTCTGAGGAAAGAACAAGGCTGAAGGTCATTTGTATCGTGGGAGGGAGATCATTCCAGATATTCCAGTCCAGTCCAACTGATATTAGAAAGAAAGGACCCCATCCAAGCAGAGAGCCCTTCAAGCCCTTGCGGAAGATTTCCTCTTTTTATTTCTCATTTTCGTCTGGGAAATCTGTGATGGGCTCCACAAAATGGAGAAGTGAAAGAAATACAGCTGCCAACTCAGTCACTTAAAACCAGCTGCAGCCAGCTGAATGAAATGCAGTCCTTTGGGGCAGTAGTACATTTTAAGGCCTAAGGAAAAGGTTGGGTTGAAGCCTGTTCCATGTTTCAAGAATATGGTTTTGCAGCAAGAGCCCCGTGCTCGAGGGAAAGAATGAGTTTGGCTGGAGGGTCGGGTTACTTGCATTACCCTCAGCCTAAAGTGGCCCTTGTTTTTGCAAATGTGGGTGTCAGGAGGGTGACGCTCCCTTGCCTGTCCTTCTTGCAGGTGGCGAATGTGGAGCTTTACTACAAAGCAATTCAGTTTTATCTAGAATTTAAACCTCTGCTGCTGAACGACTTACTCATGGTGCTTTCACCGAGGCTGGATCATACCCGTGCAGTCAATTTCTTCAGTAAGGTAAGGATTCCTTTGAAAAGCAGAGGTTTTTTTCTTTCTGTGCTCTCAGGAAGTTCCCCAAGTCTTTCTTGCGTGTTTCTCAGTTGGTGGCTGGCTTTGTCCCAGTTTGACACCAAGAGTGACTCACATGGTGTACACAAACCTCAGTCCAAAGAGCTCTTTTGGGCTTGTTCTTGTTCTGTGGGATTTTTCAACTCCTCTCCTACTTGGACCTTCTGCACGGCCCCTCCGGCCACTGGAATGGCAGGCTGTGTGGCAGAGGGGGCTTCTGCTTGACAGATGCAGGTCTGGCGTGCCATTATGGAGACATGGATCTGGCTCTTGGTTTAGGTCTTTATCCTTTGCAGTTTCATGTGCAAAGACACCTGAGCATTGTCCTTCACCAGGAGAATCAACTGCAGATCAAAGCCCAAGAAAAGAGTGACCTTAGTAAAAATTTCTGGTGAACAGTCCATACGCTAAAGGAACTTCCCCTAACTCCACCCTCAAGGGTTTTGATTCTGGATTTGAAAAATCCTTTTTTACATAAAACCAATGCCTGATCCATTGAGATTGCAAACCTGGGTCTACATCTTAACTCCTGGCCAGACAGGTGTTGTAGTGGAGGTCCTGACCTGGTGCCTGGAGACTGTTAGAGTCTGGCTGGGGAGTAACGCTCATGCTGAACCCTAACAAGAGGGAGTGGTTGTGGGTTCAAAGGCCTCCTGAATCCAGAGATGGTCTGTCTTTAGCTCTGGACAGGGTCATATTCCCCTATTGGAAGCCAGTTCACAATCTGGGGGTCCTCCTGGACTAGGTGCTGTGCTGGAACAGCAGGTGGAAGACATGGGCTGGAGAGCCTTTACGCCGTTGCATTTAATGCAGCGGTTGCGCCCTTTCCTGGGCCAGCAGGTGTTGTGCAGCACAGTCACTTGTGCCGTTTTCACCTCTCAGCTGGACTGTTGTAACTTGTTCTGCGTCGGGTTGCCTTGGAGAGCAACTGGAAGCTAGAGCTGGTGCTGCATGCGGCCGCCTGGGTAGTTATGGGCAGATCCACGTTTGCCCCTGCAACCCCTCTCTCCTGGGAGCTGCATTGGCTACTGTGCAGCTTCGGGGTGCGATTCGAAGTGCTGGTTGTCACCTTTAAAGCCTTACGTGGCCTGGAGATTTTCAAGTCCACCTGCTCCAAAATGAAGCTGCCCTTTCAGGGCAATCATTTCCTCCGCCCAGAGCTTGTAATCAGGCCTTCTCAGTGGCGGTTTCCCTCTTGTAGAACGCCTTGCCCTCACGCATCCAGGTCATTTCCTTCCTGCTGGGTTTTCGCAGAGCTGTAAAAGCTTGACTGTTCAATAAGGGCTCTGGGGATGTTAGTCTGGGCCTCCCCGGATGGGTGGCTCCCTTATTATAGGATAGGTTGATACGTGCTGGTTTTGTCTATTGCTTTTAGTGCATTGCCTTTCCTTGTAAGCCAGTCCGGACTGCAGCAGCAGCATAGAAATCTTAGAAATAAGTAAACAAGACCAAATCGCTCCCTTTGGGCCCCAGGTAAAACATTTGACTGCTTGAAATGGGCCCGGCAGTGAATGTGTGTCCTCTGAACAGGTGAAGCAGCTTCCGCTGGTGAAGCCCTACCTACGCTCGGTTCAGAACCACAATAACAAAGCAGTGAATGAGTCCCTGAACAACCTCTTCATCACAGAAGAAGACTATCAGGTAGGAACGGTTTCTGGGCAACGAGAGGCCCATCACGGACTTTGGGTTGAAACCACTGGCGGTTCGGGAAGGTGGGATGCAGGTTGGCGCCCTCCCCAAATCTAGACTTTCTGGGATACAGGGTGGCCTGTCGTTTTCAAAGCATCGGTTACAATGCTGGCTTGTGTCCTGTCCAGGCTCTTAGGACATCGATAGACGCCTACGACAACTTCGACAACATCTCCCTCGCACAGCGCCTGGAGAAACACGAGCTGATTGAGTTCAGGAGAATTGCTGCCTATCTTTTCAAAGGGAACAACCGCTGGAAGCAAAGTGTCGAACTCTGCAAGAAAGACCGACTGTACAAGGTACTGGAGCGCCAGGTTAATGGTGTTTGCCAGCGGGAAGGGCGACGGGATCTTAGGCTGATCTGAGGAAAAGGCGTGAGGACAAACCCTCCCCTTCAGCCTTTGCTTGTCAAGTTCCTGACTGGGATAGTCAGTCTACAGTTGCCGCAGTTTTGCTTTCCTGCTCTCCCCCAGCGTTAGGCTGAAGGCCTGTCCTCGATGGAACCCTTTTTCCTCTCTCCTTCCTTCCAGGATGCCATGCAATATGCTTCAGAGTCCAAAGACACGGAGCTGGCAGAGGAACTGCTGCAGTGGTTCCTGCAGGAAGGCAAGAGGGAATGTTTTGGAGCTTGTCTCTTCACTTGCTACGATCTTCTCCGGCCAGATGTCGTCTTAGAAACCGCCTGGAGGCACAACATCATGGACTTTGCCATGCCCTACTTCATTCAGGTCATGAAGGAATACTTGAGCAAGGTAAGGGTCCAGGCCTCCTCCCCGCACTTTGCTTGCTGTGCCTTTCTTGTTGGACCCACAGCACTTGCAAAGGTGCTGCTAAGTCTCACACTGTCATCTCTCTCTGCCGATACCAGCCCTCCTTCCTCCTCCAAAACTTCAGGTCAAGCTGCTGTTGGAATGCTTGATACGCAGTATGGGTCCTAACAGGCAGGCTGGGTTCTGATTTTGAATACTTCCTCTCTCTTGGCCACAGTAAGTCTGCCAAATTTGGGCAAGCAAAACTGGAACTGGACCCCAACTGTTAGTTTCAGGAAGTCTGACCTGACAAGAGGCCTGCATGTCCTTGTCTAAAGACCTTACGGAGACACTTGATGGTTGGCTGTAGTTCACTGAGGAGAATAAACCTCTGCTGACTCTTTTCAGCCCTCTGCTTGTCTGAGCTGCTATGATAGAAATGGATATGATTAATCCCCCTTAGCTGAGAGTGGGACAGATGTCTATGAGTGAGGCTGTTAGGCTTCAGTGGGCTTCTCCCTGACATGGATCCTTCTTGTACATGTTGCACGGGGATGCCACCTCCAGTGGGTATAGTAACCAGTACTGGCTCCTAATCTACTCTGACAGTCTGAAACTCTCCAGTCGGTTTCCAGCCTGCCAGCCTTGAGCCTGTGCAAGGCATTCACAAGAGGGTAGATCAAGTCTTTGGCTTTTGCTGTGCTTGTTCTGGTGATCACTGAAGACATTAAGCCCTTTGAGTATTCCAAACACTTTGGCATAATTTTGGTAGCCCTTAAGAATCCTGCCAACTCGGGGGGCTGGAAGGCTGAAAGCATCGCTCCCACAGCCGAGGTTGGCAGAGGGACACTCCAGGTTGTGTATGAGCTGTCACGTTTGTCCATGTTTTGGGCAGTCTGAATTGCTTCCAAACCATGTGGTTGACTTTCTCTATTGTTTTTGGGCTGGGAGGAAAATCCATCTTTTCTAAATATAATATGAAAGCCGGCAACACAGCAGAGGAGACTTAACCCAAAGCTTGTGGTACTGATGGAGCTTGTGTTCGTAGTGCTTTAGCAGTAGTAGTAGCAGACAGCTTATGTTTTATGGTTAGCATGCTGAAACTTACACACAAGAGAGGAAGTAACTAATGCTACTAGGTGACCAGTGCTGAGACTGGGTGGTTCTAAATTAGAATATGAATTATGTGCTTCTAGGCCCCACATTTCCAAAGATCATTCCTGAAATACTGGGATAGAAGAGGACCCACACTACCTTCTGCAGAATTCAGGAATAAATATTCCTTGAAGCAGTAACCTTGACCACTTTCACAATCAGGGCAAAAGTGACTTCAGATTCTAATGTCTAGGGCAATGTTTCTCAACCTTGGCCACTTTAAGAGGTGTGGACTTCA